GAGGCCATCCTTTGTACTACCTCCGACTGCAGCGGTGAGTTTGTTTGAAGAATGTCGTCTGCGGGGAAACTGGTGATGTCATTGCAAATGGTTGCCCTGTTTCTAGAGAAATAAATTTATCTCGACTATTACAGCAGGACTTTAAACTTTTATTACAAATTATATATACCATATCACTCTACGAACATGGCAGATTGTATTTCTTATGTTTATTCAGAACTGACGACATGTCCATTGTGTGTAAATGGGGCAGATAGTCAGATGAGCAACCTGGGACTTGGACAACACATTGTGCTTCCAATATCTTCCCAGGTGGTAGTACCTCCCTATTTGATAGCTGCTTACTATGTACTACTGTTAAGAGTTTTGAGAAATTAATGGGAATAGAGAGATAGACTGATATTTGTACTGCAAGTTGGTTGATAATGGGGAATACAGTGGTCCCTCGATTAACGAACGGTTCAATTAACGAAATTTTGGTTAACGAATTAGCTCCCATAAGGATTTAAAGTTCCATTAACGAACAAAACTTCAATTAACAACAGCCTTACGAGAAACACGCTTTGCTGTGCGCATCAGCTGATTGGCTAGTTCACCAATCCAGTAATTGGTTCTATGTTTACATTCATTTCCTGTGGGCTAAATATCAAGAAAGTTGTGTTCTTGAATATTTTTCTATTTTTTATATTAAGATTATTGGTCATTCTGAAATTTAGTTACCATATTGATCATATTTACAGTACAGGGAACAGTTTTTGTGTGCTCATCAGCTGATTGAATCACCCACCAACGCTTCTCAGTTTAACTTTGTTTACAGTGGAGTGAACATCCAGTTTGTTGGTCTCTTGAATATTTTTGTATTTTTACATTAAAATTATTGGTCATTCTGAAATTTAGTTGACATATTGATAATATACAGTGCAGAAATTATTCACTGGTCAACAGTCAAAATGGTTCACATATGAGATCATGCTCACACAACTAATTTCATATTGCTGAATTTGAATCTGATATTTGTTTTGTTCTATCAGACCAGGTTTTATAAAAAAATCAATAGGTACAAATATTTAATATTCCATCACGTGTCGTGCAAAAGATGAGATTATCTCATGCGACTGTGCTTTCATGACTAATTTCATATTAATGAATATTAATTGGATGTTTCATTCTACCATCAGACCTACTTTGTTAAAGAATAAAAAAAATAGTAAATATAGTAACATTATCGCGTCATGCAAGATACAATTTTAAACCTATCACAGATAAGCTCATAAAAAATTGTACCAAAAAACATAAGTTCAAATCCTTTATAATGACAAAATATGAAGTTCTAAAAGTGCTTCTGAACTTTACTCTTTCTCTTGTACAGCTTGCTCTCTTCTCGTTGCAGTGTCCAGCAATAGTCGCCCATCATGTTAGGACTGAATTGTCCCTGATATCTGCTCTCCATTATGGCGATATCTTGATGAAATCTTTCGCCGTGTTCATCACTAACGTCTCCAAGGTTACCTGGGAAAAATTCAATATGAGAGTGGAAAAAATGCAATTTCAAGGACATCCTTGCTCCCAATGCATGATAATTCTGAAGCATGGTTGTTACGATTTCTTTGTAGTTGTCAGCACGATAGTTTCCAAGAAAATTCTTTGACACATTGACAAATGATTCCCATGCTTTTTTCTCCAGTGGGTTCAATGTTTTGGTGAATTCGCTATCATTAACTAGTATACGAATTTGTGGTCCATTCAAGACACCTGCTTTCAACTTGGCTTCGGAAACCACACCACCTAGTTTCTGAGATAAGTATAGAGTCCCAGCACCGAATTGATCCATAGCTTTGATGAAATTTTTAGCCAAACCGAGCTTTAGATGCAGTGGAGGCAAAAATATCTTTTCTGGATCTACAAGCGGATTGTGAGCACAGTTAAACCTTCCAGGCGCATCTCTTGGTCTTGTCGGCCAATCCTTTCTCACATAGTGCTCTGCATCAGCTCTGCTGTTCCACAAGCACAAAAAGCACATGTGCTTTGTGTAGCCACTCTGAAGGCCCAGTAGTAAACTGATGACTTTGAGATCGCCACATATCTTCCACTGGTGTTTCTCATACTCTATAGCGGCCAACAGAATTTTCATTGTTTCATAGCTCTCGGTCATTTTTGTTGCGTGTGCTATTGGGACAGATGGAAGCCGATTGCCATTGTGTAAAAGAACAGCTTTCAGAGAGTCTTTTCCTGAGTCTATAAACAGCCTCCAATCCTCTGTCTTGTATGTTTCAGACTTGCAGAGTTGTTGCATGAGAGATACTGCGTCCTCGCAATAACAAAGGTTGTTTGCCATCTTGAAAAATGCAGACAGCTGCCTATGTCGGTAACACGCTGTAGTGATATGCACTCCATCTTCTAGCAGGTTACGCTGCTTTAGTCTGGATCCCAAAACTTCAGCCTTTTCTTTTGACAAGTTTAGGTCCCTGATGAGATCATGAAGCGCTTCTTGAATAAATAGTTTAGGCCTGGTATTTTCAGAGTCATCCTGGTAGTCGTTTTCCATTGAGGTAGAGGTAGAATCGGAATCACTCAATTCTTGTTCAGTCGGTGGATTTGGGACTGGAAGTTCAGCACTGTGCGGTACTGGTCGGATTGCAAAAGCAATATTGGGGTACTGTACCTTGCCTCGTGTCTTGATTTTTATTCCCTTAATATTTGTGAGACAGAAGTAGCAGTCACTACTGTGGTCTTTAGGTTCACGCCATATCATTGGTACAGCAAACGGCATTCCTGAACTTCGTTTACCACACATCCACTCGCTCAGGTGGTTAACACAAGACTTACAGGCTACATGAGGTGCCCATTTCTTGTCTTGGTCACCCAAATGACATTTGAAGTAACTTTTGTAGTTCAGTCGAACAGCTTTTGTGATTGGTTTCTTGAGGCTACCAGGAGTGAAGGCACCACATATGTAGCAAAAACTGTCAGCACCGTTCACACACTTGCGACGTTCCATGTTTTGTTAATTTCAGAGTAATTACAAATCATGCAGGTGTAGATATGCAATATCATGAATCAGCAAACTGAAACAAACAAAAAAGCACAAATCAGGACAAAATAATTGCATAAGTGGAGCCAATGAGCATATAAATTACTGTATGAATAGCATGGTACACTAAATATATAGATATGCTGGTTCTGGAAAACTGAGCCTGATACAGCTATACGAATGTCATAATTGAGTTCAGCACATACAATTACACTAGAATCAGACTGTTTTGATCCAGAACCATGAGAATTTTTTTTTTATGGTGACCAGTGTTATGAAGCACGAAGAAGGCATTAGAACCAATGCACTCTGTAAAGAATATGGCATGTCATCATCGACTGCCTCTATAATCAGCTGTTTGATATGTAAACAAAGCTGCCGGGAATACGACATACACACCTCAGAGTAAGTTAAAATGCAGTATTCTATTGTTTTTTCATTTATCGTTGTACTGTATAGTTTACTGTACAGTACAGTATTGTATTTAGTTTATATTTAATGTTTTGTTAGTTCTATTACCGGTATACAGGACTTTTTCTGTATACTTTTACTGTGAGTTGGAACCAATTACCCAATATCCCATTGAAATAAGGGATTCAGTTAAAAAAAATTTTTGGTTAACAACTGACTCTGTGGAACCAATTGTGTTCCTTAATCAAGGGACCACTGTACATAGTTAAGAAAAAACTTCTAAGGTAGAGAAAACAATGAAATGTAAGTTGATGGATGCAGAGGAAGTGTATGTAAAGTGTGTAATCTTTACTTAGTCCTGTAGTAGTGAATAGAAGATCTCTATGAAAGATGAGCTGATGAATAAAAAATTTGGCTGGAAGATTTAAACAGTGATTAAGGTAAAGTGAAAGTTGGTTCCATAGGCCTCATGAAATCGTAGCAGTGCAGATATAACACTTTTCAAACTAAGCCTCTGGTGTACCTTTTCTTGACCTGCTTTACTCTCCCATCTTGTAAACTTAGATACCCAGCTGTATTAATTAGGGATGCTCTGGTCAAAAAGAAACAACCTTTTGGACACGAGGCAAGAGCTGTATCCACTCACCCTGCACTCTGAGACAAATTTCACACATGTAATATGGGATAACAGGTGGGAATTGAAAAAAAAAAATTAGGTGGTCAAGAGAGTGCAGTTCTGAGGTATATGGGTACAAGAGAATCAATAGTAAAAGCAAGTAGGGAAAATTGTGGACCTTTGAACACTTGCTCCAAAAATAAATCTTAAAAATTTTGAGTTAGACAGAACATCCTTGAGGTTATCTGGGATACCATTGGCAGTCATTACCTGCTGCCTCTGATATTTTATTCACAACCCCACTGTTTTTACCAGTCATATTAGCTGCACCATCAGTTGTAATACCTTTGAAACTAGCCCAATCCAGTTTGTATTTTCCAAATACACAATCATTTAACACTCTGTATATCTCAGACCCCAGAATGTGTGTGGGTAAGGTCAAACAACAGAGTAAATCTTCCAAAAAGTCCTCTTTCCATACATATCTAACATAACCAACAATGTTGCACAGTTAGATATGTTAGTACTTTCATCAAGTTGGATAGCAAATTCTCCACCAGACTGTAGACATGAAACCAGCTGGAGGTCTAAATCTTTTGCAATAGCACTTATCTGCTGAGACACTGTTGTATCGCTGAGAGGGATGCATATGATTTTATTTGCAAACTTATCAAGAACTGTACTCAATATATCCAGAGTGGATATACTGGGTCGGGACCCATACTTTGAAGAACACTCTAGGTGACCTACCACTCATCCAGAGGGGTCCAACCCCAATATGCCTGAATTTCAAAAACTAAAAGAATCGGGAATCCATGACATATTCAGCACCAAGATTTTGGATAAAGGTTTCTCAGCCTGTATATTTAAAATTTTAGTGAATTTATACTTATGTTATACTGTGTTCTGCAATCAAAGTGAGTATTGGTTCATTTCCTACAGGCAGGGCAGATTAGTTTGGTACTGGATCTATTTGGGCGAGGCCAGGTCAATGAAACCAGGGAAAAGTTGCAGCAGCTACAAAATTCCTTTACTTTCATTGGAGGGGCAGAGCAGCGGCGCAGCATGAGAGATCACTCCCCTGGCCCCTTGTCCACCATCACAGAAGATAATGACTCTATAGGTAAGCTTCCTCTCTTGGCAGGCTATCACAAATAAGACACGTCTAGTTATTTGACTGGTTAAGTTTTCTAATGTAAAATTATTCCTTACTGTACTGGATGGGACCCTTCAATGTGCAGCAGGACGTTGTGATGAGTTTCGCTACCGGATTGGCAGAGTGAGTTCACAGTGTCCGACAACAACATCTGATGAATCGGCTCGTTGAGTAGCTGCAGTAGCGGGATTTTGTGATGAGTTTTGCTAGTGAATTGGCAGAGTACAATATTTCACAATCTGTTCGCCATTTTTGACATTGCTGTTTGCCAATTCTCCAAGTTGTGTTGTGTTTATCACAATATATGTTAATTTTATTTTACCTATCATTCATTTATTATGACTTAAGCGAGCAAAGGTAACACAGGTGGTAAAGGTGTGGAAAGAAAGTCCATAACCTTGATGATATTGAACACGTTCAATATTGGATCAAGTAAACTTCAGTCATGCGCCGGTTAACGTCCTAGATACGTTCTTGGAAACGTGATGTTAACCGAAATGGACGTTGTCCGATCATCACATAAACTTTGTATTTATACTTACGTGTATGTGGAATACTATATACGTACATATACACTTTTACTGTTAAATCACTACTGTAATGTGATACAGGTGATAAATTTTTATCTCTTGTGCAAAATACATGACGTTTATATTAAAATTATTCACTGTTTTACAAGGTTTCCAGCAACGCCGGGCAGATGGGAGGGAGGGAGCGAGCGAGGGGGCGTGGGGGGGAGTGGAGCGGTTTGACAGTTGGCATACTTATCAGTTCTTAAGTGACTAAGCTTCTCTCTTATAAAAAGCCAGTGAAATGACCTGGGTGAATATACAGTTGTACCCCACTTAACGCGGTCAATTGAACCCAGAGGGTCCCCCGTTAAGTGAAATCCGCGTTAAGTGAACAACAGAACATATGGGATTAATTCCAATAGAAACCGGCCCGACCCCCAAACTCCACTTTTTGAAGGCACATACCTATGTTGTAGTAAAAATAACATCTTAATTTTATGATGGTACATGCACACAATTAATACTTAAGAGAAATAGAGAAATACAGTCGCCAAGTTAATGTCCATTCAAATAATGGACTCAACCTTGCCTCCCCCCCTCTTCCAACCGTGCGGTCAGTCCCAACCCTCCCCCCCACCCCCCACCAATCCTCCCTTCCAGGGTTTTTAACATTTAGTATTAAATAATACCTCAGATTAAAGTTAGGATTATATAATTGACATTGCTGGATTCCTTGTAAGACCAGGAATATTTTGAATATAAATGTCATATATTTTGCACAAAAGATAACATAGTTAATTTGAGAAAAAATTTTATCTAAAATTTGTATGTCTAATGCAAAAATATGATGTTTATATTCAAAATGATCACCAAATTATAAGAATTCCAGCAATGTAAATTATATTCAGACCGGGTAATTTGTATGAATTTTATGAGCTAAAACAAATATCTTCAGTTAATAAAAAAAAAAATAATTCTTCACAGGGTAACAGATGGTCGGTCGGTCCCTCCCTCCCCCCCACCCCCCACCAACCGTCCCAAGGAGATGTGTGGGATAACCACTAAATTTTAATAAATAATACCTCAAACTAAAGTTAGGATAATATAATTGACATTGCTGGATTCCTTGTAAGACCAGGAATATTTTGAATATAAATGTCATATATTTTGCACAAAAGATAACATACAGGTAGTTCTGCTATAACGCGATAGTAGTGTTCTTGTAAAACATCGTGTTATAGAAATTCGTGTAATAGAAATAACAGGGCTTATGGAGAAAATAGGGTTAGGTGCAGATTACTCCAAATCGAAAAAAAATTTCGTAGTTAGCCTAACACAAAGGATAGCACAGTCTAAATAAATGTTACATTCATATCTAATAATGAAATCATACAGTAAATGTTACACTTTACCTTGAAAAAATATGAATATAACTTGATGGGGGATAAGGGTGATGTTGAGGCTGAGGAGTCATGAAACATCAAGCTTTTCTTCAAGTGTTATAGCCTTTCTTTTACAATCACCACCGGAAATGCGATCACCAGAGTGCTTCCCAGAGATATTCTTCTTTTCCATAGTCACAAAATTGGAGAAACAGTAATCAGAATTCACTGAGGACACTTAAAAACTTCACACGTGTTTCAAACAAAGTGTGGAGTAAACAGAGCGCGCGGGTCTAAAACGCTATGTATTTTGTTTTTCTCTTATTTAAAATTTTACATTTTACATATACTGTACAGGTATACTGTATACATAAATATTACATAAATTATTTCTGCAATTCTTCACAAACAAAACACATAAATCAATTGAACATGTGATGTCGAACGTGAACTGTAAACACTGCATAACCCCGCGCCAAGCCACAATGTACAGTACACTTTAAACGCTACTTATTTTGTTTTTCTCTCTTATTTAAAATTTTACAATTTACATATACTGTACAGGTATTTCTTCACAAACAAAACACATAAATCAATTGAACAAGTGATGTCGAACGTGAACTGTAAACATTGAGCCAAGCCACAACACTGTACAGTACACTTTAACACTTTAAACGCTACGTATTTAGTTTTTCTCTTTTATTTAAATTTTTACGATTTACATATATATATTTCATGTAAATCCACAATGAAAACGTGGATAAGATAAATCTTGATAAAATCACACGGGAAAATGGAAACAACGGAGTACCTTAGCTTTCGTCTTTATTCAGAGGCAACTGGATTACATGGACAGAGAGAGGCTTAAATATACAGGGTGACCTAAAAACATGAGGTCAGCTCATAATGATGACATCCACTAATCCCCACACCAACACACACGTAGAGGAGCTTAAGAGAAGGGTGGTGACGTGACTAGCCAGGTCAGGTCAGAAAAAAGGGACCCACAAAATAACTATCATACATCTAGATCAAAGGTTTTCAAAGCATTTTTAACCTTGGGCCACTGACAAATAAATTTATGTAACATATTATCAGTTTTGAACTGACCATCACTAAGGTTTATTGATTTTAATTCCTTAATCAAACTAGCTTCAACCAGAAGTCTTTCTGTGACACAAGATGATTTGTGGGGATTAGTGGATGTCATCATTATGACCTGACCTCATGTTTTTAGGTCACCCTGTATATTTAAGCCTCTCTCTGTCCATGTAATCCAGTTGCCTCTGAAGATGTCTTGAATAAAGACGAAAGCTAAGGTACTCCGTTGTTTCCATTTTCCCGTGTGATTTTATCAAGATATATATATATATATAAATTATAATTTACATACATACATATATATATATATATATATATATATATATATATATATATATATATATATATATATATATATATATATATATATATATATATATATATATATATATATATATATATATATATATATATATATATATATATATATATATATATATATATATGTATGTAAATTGTAATTTACATATTATTCATATTATGCTAGAGCGCCCACAAAACATGAGAAACGTTTGAGTCCCCCAGTAGAGATGTCCGTTCTCTATCCACTCCAGGATGTCCGTTTTCTTTTTGTGTACTCGCTCAGGGACTCAAGTATTTCTGTATATGACACAGGATGATAAGGGAATTTGAATTTATTTGTTTATTTATTTATATATAATATACTGTAATATATTAAATATACTGCAAGTATTTTCTTTAATTTATATACGTGTTTCGCGAAAAAGGGAGGCTACATTTATGGTGATCGTTAAGGACCAAACTCCGAATCCATGACGTGACTTCTGTTCATTATTTATATCCTAAATTTACCACTGTAGGTAGTTTCAAGAATTAATGCAGTCATTTACTGAATATTCTTTGCAAAAAAATAAATTTTAAATGAATTATTTATAAGAGATAAGTATTATGATCAGTAAATATACAGATATGCATTACTGACCACCTCCGAACACAAGGACGGCTAAAAATAGCCACAGGCGGTCACAGTCAAGGTCACTTTCCCTTTCTTGTCACTGGCAAATGGGGGAGGGGGGGATGATAATAGCAGCTGTGTTTATTACAGTATGTTAGACTGGTTTATAATACATTTTTATTATTTTAATATACCGGTAATCTTCATTTTAATCCAGCTTACCAAACGTAAGTTTCAGTATAAAATAATTAGTGGTACTGTAGGACCTTGTGAGTGGTTTACTGTATACATAAATATTACATAAATTATTTCTGCAATTCTTCACAAACAAAACACATAAATCAATTGAATATGTGATGTCGAACGTGAACTGTAAACACTGTGTGTGATGTAGAGAGAGCGCGGGTGTAAAACGCTATGTAATTTGATTTTCTCTTTTATGTAAAATTTTACAATTTACTTATAATATATAGGTATACTGTATACATAAATATTACATACATTATTTCTGCAATTGTTCACAAACAAAACACATAACTCAATTGAACATGTGATGTCGAACGTGAACTGAAGCCACAACAACCGTTCGAGTGGAATCGCGTTAGAGCAAACGAGTTCGCGTTTTACAAATATCGTTCCTCAATTCATAAATCGCGTTCGAGCAAATTCGCGTTGTCAAAACACGCGTTATAGCAGAACTCACTGTAGTTAATTTGAGAAAATTTTTTATCTAAAATTTGTATGTCTAATGCAAAAATATGATGTTTATATTCAAAATGATCATCAAATTATAAGAATTCCAGCAATGTAAATTATATTCAGACCGGGTAATTTGTATGAATTTTATGAGCTAAAACAAATATCTTCAGTTAATAAAAAAAAATAATAATTCTTCACAGGGTAACAGATGGTCGGTCGGTCCCTCCCTCCCCCCACCCCCCACCAACCGTCCCAAGGAGATGTGTGGGATAACCACTAAATTTTAATAAATAATACCTCAAACTAAAGTTAGGATAATATAATTGACATTGCTGGATTCCTTGTAAGACCAGGAAT